TTTATCATTCAGATTTTAAAATAATGAGTTAACATTATTAAAATATTTTTAATAAATTTATTTTTTTATATCTCTTAAAATGAAATTTATCAATTAATAATTAAATTTTAATAATTAGTATATTTTGTTAATAAAATTTATTTAATAAGCATTATTTTAGACACAATTAATATGTTTTAAATGTTATTCAATTAATTGGAAAAAAATGAAGACTATAATTAATAATTTAATTTAACTTCATTAAGTTTTTAATTTTATTTAACTTATCATATGGTTTAATTTATAGCGACAGGTTTATTAAGGACTGTCGCAATAAATGATACATTTTTCAGGTTATTTTCAAAAGTGCCACTTTATCAAATTTTACCACAGTTTTCTAATAAATTATGGTAAAATATATGTGGTTAAAATTTAATTTTGCACTAGTGACATCACCCTACCACATGTGTGCTTTCCCAAGCCACCTTATACGCCATATTATCACCTCACGCCATATTATATATTCGTTGCAAAATATATCAAAACCAAAGTTTGAACCCTTGATCTCCCTTCTCTAAATTTTAAATCTTCCTTCTTTGTTAGTTAAACTAAAATATGCTTACAGTTATTATATATGAAATTAGATATATGTTATTTAACTACATACACATATATTAAATAATATATTATTAAAAAGATATACATATATTATATTTTACTTTTAATTATTAATATGACAAAATAATTTATATAAATATTTAAATTATATTTTTAATAAAATATTTTTTATAGTAAATATTATTTTTGATAAAAAAATTTAAATATTAAATAATATTCTTATACATTGTAACCAATTTCTAAATTTTATTTTCATTTTTAAATGAAATTTATTAAGTATATAATTTATTTATAACATGTATTATATTAGTTTATGTTAAATATCTTTCACTTTTTCTTCTCCATATTTTTCTCAAAAATTAATAAATTATATGATTAAATTTTTATTTTCTCTCAAAATGGTTAAATGTTTCCCCCTTTTTTATTAAAAATATATTTTATCCACAATTTTTCAATATCTTAAAAAAGTATTTTAATGACAAATTAATTTCAACCACATAAATTTTGAGTAATTTTGAATTCTTAAAGAATATAATAACTTTTACAATACAAGATAATTACAAAGATCTCATATGTAATCAATCTAGCTAACCTCTAATAGTTCTCTACCTCATATTAAGGAGAATTTGAATAATTTTTTTTATTCTTCTTAGTAATAATTAGTTATAAAAATCTTATTAATAGCTTCTTTTTTTTATAACAATGGAAACCTAAATGCACTTCATAGAATCACATGAAATCCTTGCTTGTGTATACCAAGCTAAACATTAAATACATAATATGTCAAGTAGTCTACAATATCATTTGCATCTTGCGATATCTATATGACTTTGGCATCCCAATGCCATTTATATATTTGCATGTAAGTAATAATTTACACATACCTTAACCTAATTATAATTGAAAGTAATAACCCAACAAGATTTTAATTTATCATATTAAAATACTAGCTTAATAACATAATTTTTAAAAAATAAGAGCTATATATTTCTATAAAAACATTATGAATAATACAAAATTAAAAAATTATTTAATAATTAAAATTAATACATTTTCAATATTATTCTTTTTGTTTCATGATCTTATATGTCATTTATTAATAATTATGTATGTGAAATAATAAATTTAATTTGATAAATATCTTTTGAATGATTTTATTTAATTTTAAATTTTTAAAATAGTTCATATGAAATTTTTTGATAATTTATATGATAATTTTATAAATTATTTCATATAATTTAAAGTTATATTTAATTTTTTTAAAAAAAATGCTTTTAGTTGAAACAAATATTATCATGAAAAGTAATTATATAAATTATTTTTTATAAAAATATTGTTGTTGCCAAAAGTTCACTTTTGGTTACAATTATTAAAAATTGACATCAAAAATATACTTTTGGTAGCAATAATTAAATGTTACTGTCAAAACTCCACTCTTATCAAAAGTATATTTTTGGTGACAACATATTGTTGCCATCAAAAGTCCAACTGCTAAAAGTTACCACTAATTTTTTTTTTTGGGTAGTGTTTATGTACTAGTTATCAATTTTTACATCAAGCATTAATGTTAATTATATCTTCTTATTAGACATTTATTTACTGCCTCACATTTCACTGCATCTATCATTTTCATTCCCAATATTAATTAAATATTTTCTAGTTAGAAGGGTAACATGCATATACTATATTAAAAGATCAAACTCTTTTTCGAATGCATATAAAACTTAGAGAGAATTATTGATAATACCACTAACTGTTACTATTATTGAAAGAAATTTTTCCAAATTAGAATTGCTTAAATTTAATTTAAGGTCAGCCATGTTACAAGACAAATTAAATGGATTAGCTTTATTATTTATCAAAAGTAAAATGTTAGAATTGTTTGATTGTAAAATTTAAATATTTGATTTTGTACCTCAAAAAGCTAGGAAAGTGATATGAAAATAGATAAATGATAATACACTAAATCTCTTAAATAATTTCGCCTTAAACTCCAAAACTTCTTTACACAGCCTTGATTAGAAATTGATTGAATCAAGCCGGACAGACATATGGGTTAATGACTTCGGCCGAATTCATCAATGGACAAATTTTTCCTTGAGTACATGCCATGAATGCCAGGACACAAGAACAATAAAAGTGAATCACTATCCATAAAAAAAAAAAAACGGGGGGGGGGGGGATAGACCAAGAGAGCCCTATTATTGCCCCAAAAAAATTGCCAAAAACATCGTATCAATTATAATTGAAAAAACAATTAATTTTCTGGCCTACAAGATCAAAAATATTTAACAAATTGACAATTATATAATACACCTTTTGTCCTTGCTGCCGGCATCAAATATTTATATCATATGTGTATTACTTGCACGCAACTACATCAACATGTGCCAAAAAATGCATAATGTTTGATATTGCTAATAACAGAGTGTAATATTGACTCATATATGGAGAAATAACCTTAAAGGACCAAAAGATCTTTTGAATTAAACTTGAATATAGACTAAAGATTGGAAAATCTAAAATAAGGATAGAATGCCATTTAATAAATTGGTCTAAGAATTTGTAACTCTCTCATTCTATGATTTGCAACCACGAAAATAATTTGCAAATAAAATTCACTAATTTCTAAAGGAAAAAATTTGTCAAACATATCATTACTTTCAAGGATCTACTACTCGCAGTAGCAGAGCTGCTCATTGTTGAGGATGTGAAAATGCTCTCACTTTTGGGAAAAATTATGAGTTTGTGAATGTAAATTTTGCAATTTTAACCCCTATTCTTGAGATTTTGCATCATCTGAACTAAATAAAAAATAATAATTGATCTCAAAAACGTATTTGATATATAACATTTTAATGATAGATATAAGATATGAAGAATATATTTTATATGAAAGTCCATATCAAAATATATAAAAACGTATTTCAAAATATATAAAAACGTATTTTATATGAAAGTCCATATCAAAATATTTAATGTAATTTTTTTAAAAAATGATGATTAACCTGCTTATGTTATTACAATTTTATTCTTAATGTCATTATAATTTAAAAAAATTTATTAATTTTTAAATTAAGTTAAATTTTTAAATTAAGTTATCTTATACTCGTGACTTCCAATCCTACCTCTACCATTGACTACTCATATCCATGGTATTGAAATCTAGACCGGACCGGTCGGGTCAACCCAAAAATCGGTGACCCAATCCCTTGTCCGGTCTAGGTTTACTCCTAAACTAGTGAGGGAATGAACCGGTGTAACCCGGTCAACCTAGGTTCAACCCGATATAACTCGGTTGACCCGGTGGGTTGACTAGGTTATTATTTTTTCAGACAAAACCCCTAAAATGACATCATTTTAGGGGATTTTTTTTTTCATTTTTGATTTTTTAGAGTGCTGAGTTTAGAAATAAGATAACAAAAAAAAAAGTGAAACTGAAGTCAAAAAATAAAAAATTAGAGGTAGAGCACGCTAAGTCCAATCCAAATTTCCAGACAGCATTCAGTTCAGCCTTTCATCTATGTCTCTCCTCTCTCGCCCTAACCTAATTAGCGTCTCTTCTCTAGCTCAGTCTCCGTCTCTTCTCCAAGCTCCAGCTCTATCTCCATCTCTTCTCTAGCTTTATCTTTGTCTCTGCTATCTCCATCTCTTCTCCAGCTTAGTCTCTAACTCTCCGTCTTTTCTCCAACTCAATCTCTATCTCTTCTCCAACTCTATCTCCATCTCTTCTCTAGACTTTTTAGATTGAAGAGTTGTAATTATAAGGATAGATATTTAAAATATTGTATTTTATTATTGTTAGACTTTTGAGTGGTTAGATTTGGTTGAATATTTTTATAATTAATGTCTTTTTATTTAAATTATATTATTTCAATCATGATCGATTTGCCACTGGTTTAACTCCTAGTTTAACCCTAATTGAACCACTAACCCGTGATCCAGTGCCATAACCGGTTTAATGATCGGTCTGGTTTTACATACCTTGCATATATCCCCTTATTTGCAACTCTCAAAATACAAATTAGTAAATAAGCTTCATAAATATAAAACAAAATGATTTCTAAATAATAATATATTTGACATATTATTTGCAAATTTTTGTTCAAAAAGTTGCAAATCATGAAAAAGGGTGGCAAATTTTTAGACCAGTTTATGAAAGGTCCTTTTTGTCCTTGTTTGGAATTTGCAAATATTTTGGTTCTGATAAAGTGTAGTTCCCTGTGTGTGCGTCGTCCAACATGGCAAAACGTCAATAAGAAGAGGACAAAATTGCAGTGACAGAAATAGTTTCCTATCCTATTCATTTTCACGATATATTGACGATGGTATCCTCGTCATCAGATTTATACAAGTATAAATACTGGTGATAAAGTGAATTAATTCGGCAACAAATTAGAAGAGAACACGTACGCTAAAAAGAAAACACCAAAAAGATGAAGCCAGTCGTGGAAGTAATCTCTACAGAAATGGTTAAACCTTCGTCTTCTACACCTCACCATCTTCGTCACTACAATCTCTCGTTCATCGACCAGATAACTCCCCAAGTCAACAATTCTATGGTCTATTTCTTCGATGCCGATGATGTCGCAAACAAATTCAACATCAACGAGGTTTCCGACCACCTCAAGAAATCATTATCTCAAGTCTTAACTCACTTTTACCCACTCGCCGGAAGACTCATCAGCGAAAACCTAATCGTAGATTGCAATGACGAGGGTGTCCCTTTCATAGAAACCAGAGTCAGTTGCCACCTCCGCCACATTACCGACAACCCCTCTCTGGCTGACGTCAGCAAGCTGCTTCCCTACGACATGGATGAAATGGTCAACACACTCCTCGGAGCCCAATTCAATGTCTTCGATTGCGGTGGAATAGCCGTCGGAGTATGCATCTCCCACAAGGTCGGCGATGCGCTGTCGTATTTCCAGTTCATCAAGAGCTGGGCCGCCGTGACACGTGGCGAACCGGCAGAACAAATCAGAACCCACTTCAAATCTTCCTCACTCTTTCCGCCAAAAGACACGTCGGGATTCTACCGAAGAACTTCAACAATCGGGAAGCACAAAATTGTGTGCAAGAGGTTCGTGTTTGAAGCATCTGTAATAGAATCTCTGAGAACAAAATATTCTCAAAAGATCGAGAACGTTCCAGAAGGCCAACAACCACCTTCAAGAGTAGTAGCAGTATCAGCTTTCCTTTGGACACGGTTTGTTGCCGCTACTAAGAAAGAAGGAAGCAAACAGATTCACTTGGTCGGATGGACAGCGAATCTACGCCCAAGAATGGAGCCGCCACTGCCGGAACATGCGTTCGGAAACTATTACTGGTATCTCCAAACGTTTCCAACGTTAGATGAACAAGGAGAGTGTAATGACGACCTTGGAAGCCTGTTGAGACAAGAGCTCAGCAAAATCGACAAAGATTTTGTTGTGAAGCTTCGAGAAAGAGAAGAATGCTTGAACCCTATTAGAGAAGACATTTTTAGGGCAATTGAGAAGGGAGAGATGGTTCCCTTTAGTTTCACGTCACTGTGCAGGTTTCCGGTGTACGAGGTTGATTTCGGATGGGGGAATCCAACGTCGGCAGTACCTCCGACATGGAAATTCAAGAATTTGGTCTCTTTAAAAGACACCAAATCAGGTGGTGGCATTGAAGCGTACGTCAGCTTGACGGAGGATGACATGGCTAAATTTGAACGTGACGTGGAACTTGTTGCTCACGTTTCTACCACGGGGTTGAAATAATGTTTGAGTAATCACTACTATGTTAAAGTCGGTGTCCTTTCCTTTGGGTGTTTATTTTCCATTTCCGTACAGTGTTTTTGTTATAATTGTCCTCTGCGTCTAACATTGAGTGCTGGTCTGTTGATTGAAAGACGTGGGGTTGTTATTGTTTACTTGTTTACTTGTTTACTGTAACTGTATGTGTGCGGTGGCGAGGCCAAGATATGTAGTCATGGCGCAAGATAATATAATTTTAAAGTTAATTTTTAAAATTAATAATTTAAATAATTAAAAATAATAATTACACTGTAGGTCTAAAATTGCAAAACTCTAAGTAGATTTATCATAATTTTTTTAAGAAAATTATATTAAACAAGTTAATATGGTATTTTATGTAAATATATATGCTCTTCATAACTTATTTCAATCATTAAAACAATACATATCTAATAAAATTTTAGCCCAAATAGTTTTTATTTAGTTTGGAGAATGTATAATATCAAGAATAGACAAGGGTGGAGAATTGTAAAATATACGTATCCTGCTTATAATTTTCTCAAAGTGAGGGGCTGCCTTGTCTATCTAACCATAACATGCTATCACTAGGGAAAAAAAAAAAAAAGGTCTTTGACGGTGACTTTTAGCGTGATAATAAAAGTTACTGCTAAAAGTTTGGTTTTGACAGCACGAATTGAGTGTCACCACCAAAAATTGTCACCAATCACTAGTATAAAATATAATTTTAACAACATATTTTTCGTCACAGTTTATAGGAAAACTGTGGTAAAAAAAAGGTAAAGTGGCAAAAATGTAAATAAAGAAAAAATGTAATATTTATGGCCACAGACATACAATCCACCTGTTGCCGTAAATAATTTGACAAGCCTTTAAACAAATAACGTAATTAAAATAAATCATTAATTCAAATTTTAAATTTACATTATCAAGAAATATATATATTTAAATTTAAATTATTAAGAAATATATATATATATATATATATTTAACGTGTCTCAGTTTAGAATTCAAACATATAAATTTTAGTTAATTTCAAAAAAAAAGATTATTTTTATTTTTATAAATATTTTATCATAAATATATAAATAAATTTAATTTTTCTGATTTAAGGCATAATTAATATGCTTGAAATCAGAAACCTACGGCGACAGGGGTTCTTAATTATGCCTGAAATCAAGAAAACTTACAACGACAGGCGTGATAAATGCTTGTCGTCGTATGTCTGATTCAGGCATTTAATATGCCTCAATTTCGTAAAAAATAATAATTAATCAATAATTAAAAATTTTACATAAATTTTTGAATTATTTAAATTATTAATATGCCTGAATCCAGACATATTAAATGTGTCTGAATTTAGACATATTAAATTTAAACTGTTAATAAAATTAAGATTATTTTAATTTTTATAAATATTTATTCATTAAATATATATATATATATATAATTAAATATGTCTAATTTCAGGCATATTTAATATGCCTGAAATCAAGCAAACTTATGGCGACAGGTGTCACAAATGCCTGTCACTGTAGGTTTGATTCAGGCATTAAATATGCCCTAATTCTGTAAAAAATAAAAATTAATAAATAATTAAAAATGTTACATAAATTTTTTTAATTATTTAAATTATTAATATGCCTGAATCTAGATATATTAAATGTGTCTAAAGTCAGACATATTAAATTTGAATTGTTAATAAAATTAGGATTATTTTAATTTTTATAAATATTAATTCATTAAATATATATATAAAGTTAAATATGTCTGATTTCAGGCATATTTAATATGCCTGAAATCAGGCAAACTTACAGCGACAGGCGTGATAAATGCCTGTCACCGTAGGTTTGATTCTGGCATTAAATATGCCTCAATTCCATAAAAATAAAAATAAATAAATAATTAAAAATGTTACATAAATTTTTTTAATTATTTAAATTATTAATATGCCTGAATCCAGACATATTAAATGTGTCTGAATTTAGACATATTAAATTTGAATTGTTAATAAAATTAAGATTATTATAATTTTTATAAATATTAATTCATCAAATATGTATATAAAATTAAATATGTCTGATTTCAGGCATATTTAATGTGCCTGAAATCAAAACCTACGACGACAGGCGTTAAGAACGCCTGTCACCATAAATCATTATTACTTACGTCAACAAGCGTTAGTGACACCTGTCACCGTATGTCTTCAATAAATTCATTCCCATTCACCCTCAGCTTCCTCACTCACCCTCAGCTCCCAAAACGTCTGCCGCAGACTCCATTCCCATAGCTCCCTCAGCCACTGCAGCTCCAACCCCCATTCCCCCAGCTCTCTTATCCATCATAGCTCACCCCCTTTTCCCCCAGCTCCCTCGTCCGCCCACAGCTCGTCCGCCCATAGCTCCAGCTCTAGCTTGTCTCTCGGTGCCCATAGCTCTGCCGCCCTGCTATCTCCTCCACCTGTTGTCTCCTCTGGTGCCAGCTAAAGGTTTTTCTCTCCTATTTTGCAGTGTTTTTTGCAATTTATGTTAATTTTTTAACTTAATTTTCATCCTTTTTTCAGTTTTTTTTTTTGCAGTTTATTATTTTTTTTGCAATTTATGTCATTTTTTAGCTTAATTTTCGTCCTTTTTTGTAGTTTATTTTTTTTTGCAATTTATTATTTTTTGTCAATTTATGTCATTTTTTTAGCTTAATTTTCATCCTTTTGCCTGGAATTTTTTATTTTTGATCTTGAAACTTGATTTTTATTTTTCTAATTATAATAATGCATATTTTTAATTTTAATTTTGTTAAATTTAATTATAATCCATCATGCCTTGAGTTTAATTAGTTTAAATTTTATTTTAAATCTTGGAGAATCTCTATTTATTGAGTTGTTGTGCAAACAATTTTTTTAAATTACAAAGTGTAAATTATTTGGGTGATACATTATTATTATTTTTAAATTGTGTGGATACTTGATTAGTAGATAATATCGTGCATTGCATTTAATTAGTTGAAATTGGTGATTTATTGGAAATTAATAGGCTTAATTGGAGGGTTTAGTGCCCGAGAAATCTTATTGTATAAGTCATTATGCTGTCAAATTTTTTAAAATTTCAAATCATAAATTATTTGTTGAAATTTTAATTAGGTAATGATAAACCGTAGTTGGATAGATTCTTTGCAAACAAGTGACGAATATGAGAGAGGGGTAGATCAATTTTTGGAATTTACAAAGAATAATGCTCCTAATGATAAAGGACTATTCTATTTGTCCTTATGTTAAATGTTTGAATAGGTTGCGACAAAGTTCTGTTGAGATTAAAGATCACCTAATTTGTTTTGGGTTCTATAAAGCATACACACAGTGGGTGTTGCATGGTGAGTCTAGAAAACGTAGTGTGCCACAAGAGGTGGATGACGATATGGATTATTTTGGTGATCAAATAGAGGATATGTTATGTGATATTGGCGTTGAAGCTGTTGAGAAGGTGTACAAATATGATAGCTTGTGCAATGATTCAAAAACTCCTTTATATTCAGGGTGCACAAAATATACACGACTAATAGCAGTGTTGAAGTTGTTTAACTTGAAAGTAAGATATGGGTAGAGTAATAAGAGTTTCATAGAGTTGCTTAAATTGTTGAAAGAGATGCTTCCAAAGGGTAATACACTTCCCAGTAGTTATTACGAGGTGAAAAAATATTGTGTCCAATGGATTTGGGGTACCAAAAGATACATGCTTGCCCCAATGATTGTATATTATACAGAAATGATTTTGAAGAATTGGATGCATGTCCGGTCTGTAAGGCATCACGCTATAAAGTAAAAGAAATGGATGGTAGTGATGATTCCATTACTAAGAGGCCTCCAGCGAAGGTGTTATGGTATCTTCCTATAATACCAAGGTTTAAACATTTGTTCGCTAATTCAAGTGAGGGAAAGAACTTGAGATGGCATGTTGATGAGAGAAAAATGGATGGCATACTTCGGCATCCAGCTGATTCTCCACAATGGAAGGGAATTGATAAATTATTTCCTGAATTTGGCAATGAGCCTAAAAATCTTAGGCTTGGACTGTGTACAGATGGAATGAATCCTTATGGTAGTCTTAATAGTCAACATAGTTCATGGCCTATTCTGTTAGTGATTTACAATCTTCCTCCATGGTTATGCATGAAACAGAAATATATCATGCTATCTTTGATGATTTCAGGCCCTAAACAACCAAACAATGATATAGATATTTACTTGGCACCGTTGATTGAAGATTTGAAGATGATCTGGGAGATAGGTGTTAAAGTGTTTGATTCATATCAAAATGAGTCTTTCAAGCTGTGAGCTATGATTTTTTACACGATAAATGATTTTCCTGCATACGGAAACCTATTTGAATATAGTGTGAAAGGGCATAAAGTATGTCTTATCTGTGAAGAGAACACATCCCATCAACAATTGAAACATGGGAAAAAGACAGTCTATCTTGGTCATCGAAGATTTTTGAGACTAGACCACCCTTATCGCAAGTAGAAAAAAAGATTCAATAGTTATCAAGAGTATGATGAAGCTCCAGAGCCATTAACTGCAAACTTGGCATATGAGTGAATGAGAGACATCAATGTGATATTTGGTAAGAGTCAGAAAAAAGAAGCTCAAAAGAATCAATAGAAGAAGAGGTCTATCTTTTTCAATCTTCCATATTGGAGCACCCTTGAGGTGAGACATAATCTTGATGTGATGCATGTGGAAAAAAATGTGTGTGATCATCTAATTGGAACACTGTTAGACATAAAGGGAAAGACTAAAGATGGACTTAAAGTAAGGCTAGACTTACTTGACATAGGAATACGAACAAACTTGGATTCAAGAGTAGAAGGAAAGAGGACTTATATGAGCCCTGCCCCTCGTACTTTGTCTAAGAGAGAGAAAAAAAGTTTTTGCAAGTGTTTATAGGTATTAAGTTCCACAAGGATATTCTTCAGATATCAAGAACCTAGTATTAATAAAAGATTTAAAATTAGTTGGTTTGAAATCTCATGATTGCCATGTACTAATGTAATAATTGTTACTAGTAGCAATTAGAGACATACTGAACGAAAAGGTGAGAAAGTCAATTATCAGATTATGTGTCTTCTTCACTGCAATTTGTGGTAAAGTCATTGATCCTGGAAAATTAGACGAATTGCAAAATGAAGTTGTCATTACCTTATGTCAACTCCAAATGTATTTTATTCCCTTATTTTTTGACATTATGGTACACTTAATTGTACA